TCTCCGTCCCCACCCCAAACACATCTCTGTCCACTGCCCCGCGTGCCCTTTTATTGCTGTCACACGATGACCACGGCGCCGCTGTGGGCAGTGGGCACGGCCGAGGGCTCTCCGGCCGCGGTGAAATACCCGACGAGCGCCCGCACYCCCGCCTTGAGCCCCGGCTGCAGCCCCATGTACACCCCCGCGGCCACCGGCCCCCCCAGCGCTCCGGCCAGCGCCCCCAGCCCCGTGTAGCCCAAATCTTCGGCCACCTCCAGCGCCCGCTCGGTCGCCGCGGCCTCGCAGCCCTGGAAGGCGAAATAAACGCTGGAGCCGAGGTTGTAGAAAACACCGGCGCCCGGTACCCAGCCCAGCACCCGGTGCGTTTCTCGCTCGCCCGGTGGGCTACACGCGTCCCCGTCCTCTCGCCGCCGCCGCCGCCGSACCGGGCACGGCCGGACCTTCCGGGATGCGCGGCCGGAGAATGGTGTGAGTGTCCGGAGCCGGGCGGGATGGACGCAGGAACCTCCCGGTTGTGCCAGTCCGAGGAGAAGCGCGGTCAGTGGCCGAGGGGCCGGAGTGTCCGGTAGCCGCGCCAGCCCTCGCAGCAGCGCAGCGGCCGTGGGGGTCCCCAGCTCTCCGGCCAACGCCAACGCCTCGGCTTCGGCCAGGGTGGCACAGCCGGACCYGCGCAGGGCTAGTGCCAGGGCGGCACGGGCAAGGCCACGGGGCAGCGGTGGCAACCGGGAGAAACCGGGGAGGGTGGACGGGAGGAGGGTCCGGCACTGGACATTTGGTGACCGCGGTGGGGTGGGGTCCGATAGCCCCCAGAGCTCTGCCAGCAGCGACCGGTCAGTGGCACCCGGGGGGTGGTCAGTGGCATCCAGGATTTGGCCAGCGGCACCCGGGACATGGTCAGTGGCACCCGGGGTGCGGTCAGCGGCACCCAGGATTTGGTCAGTGGCACCCAGGATTTGGTCAGTGGCACCCAGGATTTGGTCAGTGGCACCCGGGATTTGGTCAGTGGCATCCAGGGTGGGGTCAGTGGCACCCAGGATTTGGTCAGCGGCACCCAGGGTGTGGTCAGCGGCATCCAGGGTGTGGTCAGCGGCACCCAGGATTTGGTCAGTGGCACCCGGGACATGGTCAGTGGCACCCGGGATATGGTCAGTGGCACTCAGGATATGGTCAGTGGCACCCAGGGTGTGGTCAGCGGCACCCGGGGAGTGGTCAGCAGCACTCAGGATTTGGTCAGTGGCATCCAGGATTTGGTCAGCGGCACCCGGGGAGTGGTCAGTGACATCCGGGGTGTGGTCAGTGGCACCCAGGATTTGGTCAGTGGCACCCGGGGGGTGGTCAGTGGCACCCAGGATTTGGCCAGCAGCACCCAGGGTTTGGTCAGTGGCACCCAGGGTGTGGTCAGTGGCACCCGGGATATGGTCAGTGGCACCCGCGGTGTGGTCAGTGGCACCCAGGATTTGGTCAGCAGCACCCAGTGTCCACTCAGCAGCACCCAATGTCCGGTCACTGACACGCAGTGTCCGGTCACCATCAGCCGGCCCAGGGGTGATGCCGGACACGGCGATGGCGTGGCCGAGGATGAGGAGCGGGAGGAAGAGCAGAAGCCAGGCCATGGCGGCTGCTCCGGGAGGGTCTGTGGAGGCAGGAGAAGGGTCAGCCCCTGAGTGACCACAGCCCCCCAATAGTGACCACAGCCCCCCAATAGTGACCACAGCCCCCCAGAAGTGACCACAACCCTCCAGAAGTGACCACAACCTCCCGGTGGTGACCACAACTTTCCCGGTGACCACAGCCCCCCGGAGGTGACCACA